GTATTATTGCATCATTATTGTATAATTGTATCATATTGTATCGTATTGTATCATTACTGTATCGCATTGTATCATATTGTATTGTATCATAATTGTATCATTATTGTATTGTATTGCATCATTATTGTATCGTATTATTGTATCATTATTGTATAATTGTATCATATTGTATCGTATTGTATCATATTGTATTGTATCATTATTGTATCACATTGTATCGTATTGTATCATAATTGTATCATATTGTATCGTATTGTATCATATTGTATCATTATTGTATAATTGTATCATATTGTATCGTATTGTATCATTTCTGTATCGCATTGTATCATATTGTATTGTATCATTATTGTATCATTATTTTATCACATTGTATCGTATTGTATCATAACTGTATCATTATTGTATCATATTGTATCACAATTATATCATAATTATATAATTATTGTGTCATTGTATCATTATTGTATCGTATCGTATCATATCATGTTGTATCATATTGTATCACAATTATATCATAATTATATAATTATTGTGTCATTGTATCATTATTGTATCGTATCGTATCGTATCATATTGTATCATTATTGTATCGTATCGTATCATGTTGTATCATATTGTATCATATTGTTTGTGTATTGAAACATGCTTTGTATCAGCCAAAGATCAGAAATGAATATCATTATTGATCATAAAATGTGTTCATAGATTCAGTGCAAGTTATTTCATTAACACTAAACACAAGCCGTGTACTCTGAAGGAATTGAGTACTAACTACAAAATATTTCACTCAGGATAAATCCCTGCTTTCCATGTCAGCGGCCCTGAAGTGGCAACCCCAGATTTTTCTCCACACCAAATTTACATTATTATTGTTGCTTTGTATGTACTGTTACATTTTTTTATATACTTTATATTCTTGCTATTTTTGGATGCAACTGGGTCCTTGAGAGCACAGTTTCGTTCCACCTCATGTACCACATGTGATGCGAATGACAATAAAGTCACCTTGAACCTTGATTTATTTAATAAAACTGTGTTTGTAATCTTTCTCAGACTATCTGTGGTACCTTAAAGACATTAAAGTCCTGCAAATCATTAGCACTAAAGCAAACGGTGGAGTTCCCTCTCTGATCCTAAGTTTACTCATGATCGAGCCAAACCATTTAGTATTAAGTAAATTGTCATTCTAGATGCCAAGTATCTGCACAGACTGACAGATGACCTCCTTGCCACGTGCTCCGACACCGTGCGGCTCAGCTTGAGGATTATCTGTGACCTTTCCACCGCTGCCACTGCCTACGTGAGAATGCATCAATCCAAAAAGTGGATTCACTCAAACACTTTGTTGTGACTTTCTCACCACGGTGGTGGAATTTAAAGCCCAGGACTGAAGCCAAGCTACAAGCTAACAGCTCAGTCTGCCAATATCAGCTGCCTACAAGCAATATTGCTATTTTAGATTGGGAGAAGTAATCTACAAGTGGCAGCACTTCGGATAATGGCAAGCATCCCTGCAGGTATGTGACCAATGCTTTGGGACGGCGGACTGCCTTCCCACATTAAAGGATACATTTGATACAAGCTATTTTAACGGAGTCATGTCCAACATGAGCTTGCAGTTTAAACCACTGGGGTAATACAAGTGGTTCACTGGGGCAGATAACAAAATCACTACTACATGCATCTTTTATGGAATAGCTGCCTTTGTATACGTTGTGAACTGAAGCGGGTCTTTTACATCGGACGACAACAATGTGACATAATTTCCTTCTTTTTTCTGCTGGACTCCCACAGACTGGTCTGTTTCTGATAACCTCTTGCACGTTTCTGCTGACAGAAGTATGTGACGACCTGCAGAATCAGCTTTCGCATTGAGTGGCCTTAATTTTCCAGTCTGATGGGTCATGCTTAAGAAACAGACATGGATTGCGTTTTCCCTTGTGAACAAGGCTGATTAACACAGAGGTCATCAATACTCAACACCTCTCCAGGAGACTGCAGTGACTTTCAGGTGCTGAGAATTAAACTTCTTTAGATAAAGTGAGAATTAAATGTGCAACTTAGGCAGATTTATTGCGCAGCATCAAAAAATTGTCTTTCCTACAGGAA